ACTATTTCATGGTCATGACCATTCCGTAGGAATAGAACCATCCTAAGAGGAAATAATCATCCCCTAGGGAGTAAGTCTTACAAATTGAACCTATTTTACAGGTGGAAATACCATAAAGAAAATTATTGTTGGAGGGATTGCTGGCACGCTGCATTCCTATACACATCCAAGAGGAAAATATTCCAATTTAACTATATAAAACATGTCTGAGTCAACCTTCTATGTGTTTTTTTCCTACACTTTCTATCCCATTACAGAAGTAATATCTACCAAATAAATGCTGTGTACTTCTAAATGATTAGCTTTCAGCTACATTGCCTATGCCTTTGTTGTTCCCTCTTTTTCCTTGAAGTCTGAGAAGGCAAATAAAGGAACTGTAGTGGCTGGGAGCACGCAAGCCCACTACAGTGGATGTTCTGTCGTGTAGCCGAAGCTTTGGTACCGTAGCCAGGCTTCATTTGTTCCATGTGTAGACAAGCTAATAAATGTAGGGAGTTCTATTTGGTATTCAATTAAGAGCTGTCTCCATTCCTGTTATTAAAGCCTACAAATATTGAGCATAAAATGAAAGTTGAACAGTTCAGCTCTTTTTGACACTGTAACACTGCCTGAAAAATAGTGATGTAAAACCCAAGACAAACATCATCCTTTAAAGCCCATGGACAAATGAAAAGTGAAAACATTGAGGGAAAAAGAGTAAATATCTAAAAAGTGGTCATTTACTAATGACAGACACATAATGTTAGGAGCGTGCTACTGCTCTCATGCAAATACATCAACTAGTTTGTTGAACACAAGATATTACATTGATTTTAACAGAAAGCTACAAGATTATTATTGCTAAAGCTCCAATGAAGGGAATAATTAAAGCATTAAGCATTTTTAAGGTTTAAGTTGACTTTAGGCAATAACCAGGAAATACTATAGGAAATCGATATACTGTAATTGAAAGGAAATTAAATTGGTCTTCATATTTTTTATCCCTTTTAAATTTTCTCTAGCCTGCCAGACCATGAAAGATAGTGAATCTTGTTTTGCCATCAGGCAGTATGACTTTCTGTAAATCTCATGTGCTGCAGGGGCCACTTTTATTATTTTTTACTTAGAAAGTGCTCAGCTTAATAGATAGTATTATGAGATTTTGGGTACATTATCTTTATTAGCCTCTGGCCTCATTATTAAAAAAAAAAAAAACAGAAACAAAAACAAAAACATAACCAGACACAAACAACCTTCTCCACATAGCCAGAGAAGTCAAGTTAATGAAATTTCAAACAATGAAACCAGAGAAGTTGTTAGCTAAGCCTCACACTTGAACCTAAGTGAAATTCTGTTAGTTTTTATCAAACACTATGCCTGTCAATCTTGCTATGCTGCAAGGAATATGGCCCACTGTAGATACAAATTCAATTTGGGTCTTTGTGAACCTAACTCATTTTTATTGCTTATTATTAGAAGAAGTTATTACAATCAAACAGAGTACATTGAAGTGAACCTCAGGGAGATGAGTAGATATGAACAGAAATTAAGGAATCTTAAAACTTGAGAAATCTTTCAAAAACTGTGGAAGATCAACATTTCCTCTGTGTGTTGCTGTTGTTTATTTCCTCATTCATCTTTGGTATACATTTTGAGGAGCATCATCAGGCCTTAGGGCAAATGAAATATGTCCCACATTTATCTTTAGTAAACTGATCACACAAAGTAGAGATTTCCAGAAATATTTTTGAGACTCTCTTGTCCACTTCATTTTTCCACTACTTTCCTTATTTTACTCAGTGCCTCTTGACTCTTTAAGTGGATAAAAGATAACACAGTAGAAGGAAGACAACCTCTCAATCCTCAGTTTCCTCTTCTGTAAAATGGGGATAATAATGATACCTTCCTCATAGGGTGGTTTGGAGATGTAAATTCATAGGGTGGTTTGGAGATGTAAATTAATTAATATAAGTAAAGCTCTCAGATGATTAGTACATACTATATACTATGTACATGTTATAACAATTTTTATAAAAATTATAGTGATGATGATGATTTTGCCTTTTAAATTGTATTACCAAAATGTGAATTCACTAGCTATTATTTTGTGCCAGCCATTTAACAATTCTGAGCCTCAATTTCCTTGACTGTAAAATAGGAATAATATCTTCTCCACCTAACTTAAATAGATTATGTTTATGAAAAGAATTTGTAAGCTATAAAACAACCCTGCAATTGAAAACACTGAATCTGGACTTTAAAAAGTACTAGTTTAAATCCTAGTTTCTTCTCTTAGTAGCAACATGACCTTAATTGAGTCCTTAGTTTCTGTGTCTATAAAATAATAGCAGTAACAGCATCTTCTCATAAAGTTATTTTGAGGTTTAAATGAGACCATATATGAAGAGCTCAGTACCATGGCTGACCCAGAGAAAGTATTCCAAAAATGTAAAAGAAAGAATTCTCTTCAATGTAGGAAATAAGTATTATTTTAATTTCTTAATAATTTATTTGTTATGGCTCATGTTAATATGTGATGTGTGGATATCTTTTATTTCTAGTTTTCCAGAAAATCTGTATCCTAAATTTTCTCTACCTCAAAATTCAGTCTCTGAACACCCTAGTTCTCGGTGTTCACAGCTAACATTCAGCTAACATTAAGCATTGGAGTTGGTGCATATGAAGAAAAAACTGAGTTATGTTAAAGGAGTTGCCAATCCTAAAATCCAGACTGCTGTTGTTAAGAACCGGAACAACTTTACAAGTGCTATGATTAAAAGTCATGTGAGTCAGATAGAAAAAAAGAAAGAAGGAAAGAAAGGAAGGAAATTTTCAGCAGGCAGAGGAGAAAATTATATGTGTTATAACATATATGAGAGAATCTTGCCAAACGTTATAAAAAATGAGAAGAAACATCATGTATGGCACAAATGATGTTTAAGTCACTGCCTAGGTCTGAAGAGAAGATCTAGCCACCTACTCTACCTACTCCCAATGCTTTGTTATTATTGTTATCTCAAACCCCCAAACGCTAGAGTGCTTTAGAATTTTTAAACCATTGACTATATTTAGTTATGTTTAAAGGAGGACATAGTTAAGAAGTTGAAAATTATATTTTTTAAATGTTTGTTCAGAGTGTTGTTGAAACAAACTGCTCAGCAAGTTTTGTTGTTATTCCAGTAGTAAATATTCTGACTGATCAATACACCAAAATGCTATGGTCAAGTTAGCACTAGCATTTATTTAGGCAAACTGACAGCAGGTTCACCAAAATTAAAAAATAACTCCAAGGGAGAAAGAAAGAATCTCTATGTTTACTTTGGTTAGCTTAGACATATTTATCATAAACAAGACGATGTCCTAAAAGCTATTCATTAAGCTTAGAATTAAGTAATAAGATTGTAAAATGTGGACAGCACATGGGAAATTTGGCTCTTCACTCAATGTTATAGCTCACTTTTTCCGCCAACGTTATTTGATCTGGGAAAGTAAAATCTTGAAGAATTAGAAAAAGTGCACATCAAGGAATGTAATTGAGGATAGACTTTGGTTGACCTCAGAAGAGAACAAAAGCTCAAAAGAAATTTCATAAGGTTTTAAATTTGGCAGGAGGACTACAGTATCTCTGATAATTAGACTTTCAACATATTTGGAATTGCTAATTGGATCTAAGTTCTAATTAGACTCTTTATGTAACTAAGAATGACATATTATTGTATGAATTTAATGTGCTTTTACAGTGGAAACCTACAATTAGCAGCCTTTTCCAAACTATTTTAATAAGGAAAAAGCTGGCTTTTTGATTATATTGTGACATCCCCTTCTCTTAAGATATATTATGTACATTTTAGTTTTCTTAATTAAACATCTTTTGGGGAGCTCAAAGAGAAACTTGACTTTTAATGGAAGCACCTAAATCGCTTGTGAGAGAGACTTGCCAGTATGTTGATGACTTTGGAAGCCACAAACACAATGCAATACAAGGAAATAAATCAGTCTGCAGGAGGAAGCAGCCAAGTAACCAGGTGCTCCTATAAACCTTTCAGTTAATCAAAACAGTCTCCAAATATGACTAAGGGTCTGTTACATTTTCAAAACATGCAAATGTGGACTAGTTTCCCAAATGTGAAGCTCGTGAATCTGGTTGGTGGATTAACAGCATGACATTTCTTCCCAAGACGTGCATTACAACATTCTTTTTGCAGCTTTGCTCCTTGAACGGTCATCTGCTAATTCAAGTCACAGCATCTCTTTCTTTTCTCTTTATTTCTGTGTTGACAGTCATCAATTTTATCCTGTTGAGTTTATAGGCAGTAATTTTAAAACTGGTAGCCCTCAGATTTGGATATTACAAAAGATAAGAACTATATGAGGATGTAAAATTAAACCAGTATTTTGGAGAGGAAAGTGCAGTGAATCATTGTAAGACTTTAAGGGAAAGGCTGCTGCCAAAATATTCCAAAGAAACTTATAGCACTGACAAAAAAGGCAAATTATATTGTTTTATGTACTGAGAATACTTGAAAACAACAAAGCCATATACATGATTTTTTTCCTCAAATAAAAGCAGTATCCCTTCTAACCACATTAAAAAGCTTGCAGTTTTTTCCAATAAAAGCAGTGTAAGACCTAATTAAAACCATTGAAACAGTAAGAAAATCTAACATGTGCAGTAATTGATATATTAGAACAGACATTATTCTAGAATTATATGTGCTATTATTTTCCAATTAGTGCATTACTGGGACTGAGTTATTGGTGTATTTATAACTCCTCATTAAGTCAAATGTCTTCAGTGAGTCTCCTAAAGCATGTTGGGTACTGTCATATGCCATATGATGATATTTAAAAGTAGGAAATGGCGTTTCTGATTGCTTTATTTGCTATTAAAAAAGAACAACTACACAAGACCCATCCTATACCAGTTATTTCAAGAGATATCACAGTTCTCTGAAAGATCTATATGTGGTGATTGGACTGTTCTTCAGGCAGAAAAGTGACCAAGCTATTTTATCTTTCAGCTTGGATGCTGGAATCCTGTCACAGGGCTGAATGGGTCACTGACTGACAAGAAACTGGAGAATAACATGCGTGGAGTGGTTCTCCGTGTGGTGACTGTTCTGGTGAGTCTGATCACAGCCTTGTGGTTTTGGCTTCTAGGGGTTACTTTATCTTTCATTTCTCTGTTTTATTAACTGACATCATAATCTCAAAAGAGCTTTTGACAAATCCTGACTATGCTTTCTAGGATATTTTTAATGCTTATAATTTCAGCCTTCAATTTATATGGATAGGAATCAGATTTTTGCAGGCTTTTTTTTTTTTTTTTTTTGGTGAGGAAGATTAGCTCTGAACTAATATCTGTTGCCAATCCTCCTCTTTTTGCTGAGGAAGACTGGCCCTGGGCTAACATCTTTGCCCATCTTCCTCTACTTTATATGGGACGCCGCCACAGCATGGCTTAACAAGCAATGTGGCGGTGCGTGCCCAGGATCCAAACCTGTGGACCCTGGGCCGCCAAAGCAGAGCGCACGTGCTTCACAGCCACGCCACCGGGCCAGCCCCGTGCAGGCTTTTCTTTTAATTACAGTGCTTTTGTCAATAACTTTTTAGGCCCAATTTCCATCCCTCTACAGTTTCCTACACATGATAAAGTAAAGGTATCCCTCAGACATTCTCTCGCTGAAACCATGTAGTGTGCATAAATGAAGACAACCAGGCAAAACGGGTAGATTTGATAAAATGTGGTACATTCAGTAATACTAAAACATTAGCAGATTAGGACAATGTTTTTCTGGTAAGGACCTACTTCAAAGGAAAGATCATCCACCTGTTTAATAAATATTTATTATCGACTATATTCAAGCTCAGTGCTGATTACTGGGGACACTGATGAATAAAAGAGACAGATATGGTTCTGTCTTTATGGAGCTTATCATCTAGTGATTCTGTAAATATTAAATGGGATTATACATATGAAATATTTATTATAGTTCCATTTATTTATTAGGAAATCAAAATGGTAACTATTATCATTATTCTGTATATTATTATTTTCTCTCCTAATAATCGTATAAAATAATATGTTAAGAGAAATATTCCTAAATAGTGAAATACTCAAATGGGTACTGTCTAAATAGCCATACAGCATGAAGATATGCATTCTCCCTGGCTATTTAAATGTGTTTAGCCCTGTGCTATTTCATAATACGTTTCAAAACCTAATAGTCCATAGTTATTAACTTTATTTTTCTTTAGAAAAGCCTACTTGTTTTTCAATTTGAAAAAGTCCTATAGGCTAAAAAAATTGCAGAATTAGTAAACAAGTGAAGCAAAGAGGTTTTTTTGATATGTTGATGTTAGTTGGATGTTTATCCAAGTTTATAACAGCAATGGCTGCCCTTTGTACATTGCTCAATACAAATTAAATAGACTCAACATAATTTCCTTATCTAAAAAAAGGATATGCGATATTTCTATAAAAAGAAATTCAAATGAATAGTCTATACCCCCTATTTGGTGCCTATAATTTATTTCTGGTTATTATTTCAATAAGATTTTCACTTTTTGGCAAATAATTATAATATGAATACTTCACAGTGTAAATGTGGAGGTGCTTCTGTAGGTACCAAAGGGTGGGGATATGCATTTGCATTGATGTGCTAATGTGAAAAGAAAGACAGACGTTTAAAGTGTGGTAAACTATTAATAGTCTCTTCTTTAGTGATTAATATGGAAACTCAGGTGACAACTGCAATGAAAGACAATATATGTGCTTTGTTTTGGTCTTTGAGATTCACATTTTAATGTAAGCTAACCTCTTCTAGTCGTTAAGCAAATATTTATTTAGTACTTACTATATGATAGACTCGGTAATGAATATAAGATGAATAATACATATACTTATGTATACTGTGGGAGTGTAAGTGTAACAACCTTTTACTCAATTGGGCACCCACTGATAAATAAGGTAAAAGTTGTCTTATTCATCTTATAGGTATATTCATACCTCAAAGTGTTCGTAGAATCTTGTTTGGGAGATAGACATACAACAACATAGATAAGATTAGTTAAGACTTACTATGTGCCAGATACTCTACTAAGTTGTTTACATGTATTATCTTATTCAGTCCTCACAGTATTTCCAAGAAATAGATACTATTCCGATCCCAAGAATGTGGTAAAGGAAACTGAGACATCCAGAGGTTGAAAAAAATGTGGAAGATTAAACATATAGTAAGTTGAGTTGGGTCAGGAAGTCTGACTCCAGACCTCTTAACCTCTTCTCTCTTACCATTATTATATGCCCTCTACTCCTACTGTGATAAGTGTGAGAATTGAGGTATCTATAGGATTTTACTTGACTTGAGAGTTGGGAATGCTTAACTCTGAATACGGTGAAAGTGAGTTTATTGGGAAAGCTTTGTAGGGCCAATTATTTTAAATTCATTTCCAGGCTGAACAAAATGATTGCTATTTTGTGCATGTAATTGTATTGTTTCACCACTGTTAATGCCTGCATGCCCCAGTCTCACCTTCATGACCCATAAGGTCTCTGTTTCTGCAAGCTCAGCCCTGCACAGATGCTGAGTATGGTTAGTGAGAGGAGATATAGAAACAGTCTGTTTCCCCAAGTCTTCTGTGATGCAGTATGGATTTATCAGAGGGTGCCCAGTTGAGTAAAATGTTCTTACACTTATCACACTCCCACAATATACAGCCATGGTACTTAATAATTTTGCAGGCTTCCTGCTTCCTCCTGTAATTCCTACTGAATGGAAACCAGCCATAACCTTCTTATTTATTTCCTACAAAGGTCTTTTCAGGTCTAGCTCTTACTTATATGGCCTTGCAAGCTTCTTCCACCCGACACTGAGAATCACTCTCCCCTCAACCCACCCAGCAACTCCAAAATCTTGATGCCCACTAAACCCTGAAACTCGGGTTTGGTTTATACTAGACTTGATTTGGCCACTTACCTACACAGCACCCAAAAAGGGAGAAAGAGGAGGGAAGGCCCATGTGTCAAGCCCCTGAAGGAAGGTCTCTCAGCCCTTATTCCATTCTAACTGCAATCTAGTCCCAGTTCCACACACCCCCATTTTACTTAGGAAATTTATGATATCAATGACACACAGGTTAATAGAATGATTTTCCTTACCTAAGTATGAAACCCCCATTCCTATTACTATTAAGGATATTTCATTGACTTGAAAGAAATAATCTAATATTTATCTTAAACTAAATAATTCAGCATTATATTATTTATGATCCCAAGGGCAAATAAATGGTACACTGAAACAGTTAACTGAAGAGAGTTAAATGAAGGGATTATTATCACAGATGTAAATAGGGTTAAAGGAATCGACCAGCAGTGTTGAAGACCCAGGGCCTAGATGCACAGCAAGCCTGACTACTCTGAAGCCTGATGGGGCGTGAGGAGGGAGCAGTATTAACAGACCTGGCAAGAGCTGGAGCCATGAGACATGAGAGAGAGACCACTCAACAGTAGTTGTGACCTTTGGTATAGGAAGAGCATGGAGAAAAAGAATCACTGCCAAAACCACAATCAGGCAACGATGAAATGAAGACAGAGGTTGCCTCGACGTCATTCCTTCTGTCCTTCCATCTCCTTCCATTGTCTCCAATTGCAAATCCAACTAGAAGTCAGAAGGCAAGGGAGCCCAAGTAATGAAGACCATGAAGGTCAGCCTCCCCAAACACAGAGCAGGGCAGTGAAGGGCACAGTAGGTCTGGAGGGAAACAGAAAACCAACACCAGCATCTGCTATTTGATAGCATCTGTTAAGAACTTCACATGTGTTAACTTCTTTAATCCTTATGAAAACTCTGCAAGAGACGTATTAATTACATTAAAAGGATGAAAATAGGGCACAAAAGAGTTAACTAAATTTCCATGTCTATGTAGCTAACAAGAGCCAGAGATCCTGGTTCCAGAGGTGAAGTCCTTAGCCACTCTGATATGCTGCCTTTGGAATCGGAATGAATTCATGTTAGGTTTAAGTTAAATATGGTATAACTACTGAGATTACAAATATTATTGGATTGGTAACTTAGGAACATTTTTCTAAATCACATCACATAAGGATAACTTTATATTCAACTATCACCAAAGCCATAGAAATATACCTTAGAAATGGAGGAAAAGAAAGAATGAGAATAAAATTAAGAACTTACAAGACTGGTCTCTCTGCTGACCTCTTTGTTTCCATATTTGGCCCACTGATCTCAACGTCTTACCAAGTGCTCCAAGTGTATTACTACATGGCACTTACTAAGATTATTTTTTTTCCTTTTAACTTCCTAAGTTGTACAAGTATGGATAGCCATAAATGACTAATTATGTCATTCAATTTTTTTCATGGTAATTCACAAAAAGTTATTGGAAACATCACTGGGTTGTAAATATCATCATAATACTTATGAAAATAAAATGAAGTTAGCGCTGATGAAAAGAAAGGCTTGAGAACCTATGTTGCAAGAAGAAATATAAGATATCTGAGAAACATAAACTAGCATTTAGAAGGAGCTCACTGATTAATAATTCTTATTTGCTTGATTTGGTTTTGCTTAGAATGGATACATAGTACCTCTAATGAAACATGAATTCACTCATAAATTCATCTGAGAAATATTTATTGATTTCCTTCTTCTAGATGCTTGGGGCACACACAAAACAGACAAAGATACTGACTTTTGGGAGTTTCATTCCAGCAGAATATCATCTAAAGCTCTCAGAATGTTTTTTGAAAAAATGCAATGCTGTTGTCCTACATTAAATATACAACACAGTACTCCTTTGCCTAAAACTACCATAAAAATAATTGAATAACTTTGTATAAATATATGAGTGGAAATTTATGGTCAAGCTGTGGTGGTGATTTTTCTGTATTTTATAAATTCAAAAACATACAATTTTTCACATTTTAATATCTCTGAAATGAGGATGCATCTTTCCATTAATGGCTCCTTGCAATTATAATTGGATGCATTTTTTGTCTTTATTAGTGGTAAATAAAACAATTGTGGATCTTACAATTGAAAACATTTTAGATTAAATAATATATGGATGGTATTTTTACAAAATTAATTAAGTTAATAGA